AGTTTAATTTTATTCTTGTAGGCAATGGCTTCCATTTCACACCACTGGGAAAGATGATTTTGTTAGAAGAGGTACTTCTGCATAATTTTTAAAAGACACTAGTTACAGAGTTTTAAAGGAAAACATAAAACAGAATCAATAAGAACAAAACAAATTCAGTTGTATAGTGGTTTTGAACCAATTTTTAACTGAAGAGAATCAAAGGAAAACCAATTTGTATAGTAATTTAAATTTTTATCAAAAAGCTGTATTTAAGAGTACTTGTTAGAGGCTGTTCCATGAATCTGGTAAATGCTTTAGAGAAGAATCAAAACTGGGTGATAGGGCTGGGGCTGTAGCTCAGTGGTAGAGTGCTTGTCTCACATTTGTGAGGCACTGGGTTCCATCCTTGGCACCACATAAAAATAAACGAATAAATAAAGATATTGTGTCCATCTATATTTTAAAAAAATAACTGGGTGGTACAGAGTTGGAAGAGTTGTGGCTACAATTTTGACCAGCGCTTAGCAATTGACAAGACAATTCAGTTATTTCATGCACAGCATTTTAAGATTACAATCATGACTAATGCCAGGACCATCAGACTTCTAAAGATTATATAATAAGGGCTGGGGGTATACCTCAGAGGCAAAGCGCTTGCCTTGCACGTGTGAGGCACTGGGTTCGAGCCTCAGCATCATATAAAAATAAACAAATATAATAAAGATATGCTGTCCATCTACAACTGCAAAAAAAACTTAAAAAAGATTATGTAAGAGCTTTAGAATATTGACATAAAATTAATACCATATATCACATATATTGTAAAATAATAGATGTGCGTTCAGAGTTATAAACCATATTTAGCCAGAGTTTAAAGTGACAATTCAGAAGATTAAAAAACAGATGTTCAAATAAACCTTAATTCTTCAGTTTTCCTAGCAATCAGAAACCTAATAAAGACTGGTGTGTGTGTGGGGGGGACATCCATAGTTATCTTGATAAAAAAACAAATTTTGTTTCCTAGGCCAGTTCTTGTAAAATTTTACTAAGAGCAGCTCAAAACTTAAGAAAACTTATTGCTTTAAACATAGGGATTTTTATGAGAGCTTGATAGTTATGCACAATAGTTGGCAAACTCACACGGGCCTGGAATTTGGTTGCAGCTCTTGATTCTCCTTTCCCTTCATCTTTTCACCCTTCCTCATTCTTCTTCCTCCTCTCTGCCAGGCTTCCTTTTTTTACATTTGCCTGGTCCTTTTTACTTATGCCAAAGGTGACATTTCCTGTGGTACATTTACATATGCACATAATGTGATTTTTAAAATACTTCTGCGTGGCTTCCTCTTCCTGTATCTTCACTCTGCTTCTAGATCTCCTTCTACATTACGATCTTTCCATTATGATACCCTCTTCTTCCCTTCCCCTTTCTTTTATTTTACTCTAGCTTCTGCATATAACAGAAAACCTTCGACCTTTGAATTTCTGAGTTTGGCTGTTTTCACTTAGAATGATGTTCTCCACTTAGTGGCAGATGCCATGATTTGATTCTTCGTTATTACTGAGTAAAATTCCATTGTGTATGTATGCCACAGTTTCTTAATCCATTCATCTATTGGTGAACACCTGGGTTGATTCCGTAATTTAGCTACTGTGAATTGTGCTCCTGTAAACATTGAGGTGGCTGAATTGCTATATTATGCTGATTTTAAGTCTTTTGGGGAAAAACCTAAGGAGTAGGGTAATTGGTTCATGTGGTGGTTCCATCCCTAGTTTTTTGAGGAATCTCCATACTACTTTCTGTTGTGTGGTTAAACTAGTCTTTAGTCCCACCAGTAAAGTTCAAGTGTACCTTTTCCCCCACATCCTTACCAGCATTTATTTTTTGCTTCGTTTCCTTCCTTAAATTTGCATTTTGAAACAGATTCATACAAAATTTCTGAATTTGTGCTCTCCTTTAGCTTTCCCACCCCGTTCAGCCTGTGAGTCTCAGTCTCATTGCCACCTTAAGAAGACTTTCCTATTAATTGATCACTTTTTTAAAAAAAATTTTTTTTAGATGTATGGACCTTTATTTTATTCATTTATTTATTTATGGTGCTGAGAATCGGACCCAGTGCCTCACACAGGCTAGGCAAGCGTTTAACCATTGAGCCACCGCCTCAGCCCCTTGATTGATCACTTTTGAAAAATAGATATGTATGCTGTGTGTGTGTGTGTGTGCCATGTACATGTGTGCTGTGTGTGCGTGAGTGTGTGTGTGCATCTGCGTGCCATGTGTGCGTATGTGCGTGCATGCATGTGCCGTGTGTGTGCCATGTGCATGAGTGGGTGCATGTGCTGTGTGCGTGTCTGCCGTGTGCGTGCATGTGCTGTGTGTGCATGTGTGTGTGTGAGAGAGAGAGAATCGGAAGAGGAGGGACAGCTTGGTCCTTGTTTTCTGTTTGGGAGCCTGCATAATTATTTCCTACACACTTAAATTTGGTAGGATAGGTGTCGATGGGGTTTGTTGTCGTTTGTTTTGCTTGAAATGTAGACCCTTCCTTGCCTCTAGAGACAGTTGTCTTTTTGTAGTTCAGGAAGGTTTTATTTTTGAACTTGTAATGTAGTTTTAGTTTCTTCAACCAAAATGTTATTATTATAGTGTTGAATTTTAATTCTCTTTTTTGTGTATTATCTCTTTTTCTTTTGCCATTCTCTTTTCTTCCCACATATTTCGTTTTAAATTGAACACTGGGAAAGCACTTTAATTGTATTTCCATGTCATGGAAGTTTTCTGTGTAGACATTTCAGTGCTTAATTAATGCTTCCTCCTTTGCAGTTTTTTCTTAATTAAGCCAGTCTTTTAATCTCCACCTATTTGTGGTTCTTTGTTGAAGCTTTATGCTTGGCACAGTAATATGTGCATGGACATCTCTCAGATGGTTTGAATACTTGCATAAACAAAAACCAGATCTTGGTTGATGTGTGCTACTGGGAGTGTTAAAATGTTTTTCTATTAATGTGTTCTTTTTTTAAAAGACAGCTATATTGAGATGCAGGTTTATATACCACAAAACTCATCCATTGTGAGAGTACAGTTCCATGATTTTTAGGTTTCATAGAGTTGTGTAACTGTGATAATATCCTGCTTTTAGAATATTCCAGTTCTTACAAAGTGTCCCTTTGTGCCTGTTTGCAGTTAAGTCCTTGCTTCTGCACTCTGTCTGTAAATCTGCCTCGTGTGAATGTTTGTATAGATGCATGCAAAGTTACTGCTCATGTACACACAGATACAGTTTTTGCAGTTGTTTATATGTAAACAGCTGTTAAGTAAGGTGTGTATTGGACACACACACATACACACACTGTGTGATTGCTTTCATCTCCGTGTGTGGCTTTCTGGGGTCGCCTGCTTTCCATGTGGCTCCGTGGGCTTGAACCAATTTATCGAACATTTGCTGAAAATTTATAATGCTGTGAGGCTAAAAAAATACTATCACGAAATATTTCCCCCAAGCACTGTGATGAATCCAACAGCACTGGATTCCAAATTAAATTGTTAAAACTGTGACACTGGTGTGGGGTCCAGAAGCTGCATTTTAAAGAATTATATTACTTTAAATTTTTTGTTGTTGTTGCCAATGGACCATTATTTATTTATTTGTATTTATGTGGTGCTGAGGATCAAACCCAGTGCTTCACACATGCTAGGCAAGTGCTCTGCCACTGAGCCACAACCCCACCCCAGAAGCTGCAGTTTTTAAAGGAAATAAGAATGGACGTGGACCCAAGCGTCTCCAGCAGCCAGGCTTTGGTCCCCTGTCAGTAGCAGCATGTGGGGCAGGAGCAGCCATGCATATGGCCCTGGTTTGTGCTTCGGCAGCGTCCTTTCATGTCTCCCTTGATGTCCACACCCAGGCTTGGGTTGACCCACCTGCCCTGACCGTGGCTGAGCCTCAGCCTGCCACAGTGCCACCCTCTTGCTCACCGACCACCTGGTCCACCACTTATGTGACGGTGCACCTGAGCGTGTGTGTTACTTACCACTCCGAATGCGGCACCCACTCCAGCAGTAAAGCAGCTGCTCCTCCTGGCTTGCCTTGCCTGCCCTGCTCTGCAGAGTCTCTGTGTCTACTGAGCAGCAAGGAGCTTTACCCAGCATTCTCAGTTCAAACATAAATGTTTTTTAGGTTGTTGTACCCTTTGATTGATTTCCAGAGCACCAAATATTTTGTTTTTTGTTTGTGGAGATTTTTTTGTTTTTGTTTTGTTTCTGGATAAGTCTCATCCAGCTTTTCCCTTGGTTTGGGTAGAAGAATTGCTGGAAGTGCTCCCCTCAGAGTGTATTCTTTTTCTAGTGTAGTCATTTCCCCAGTTACACTTACCGTATTAGTCAGGGTCAGAGAAGCAGAACTAAGAGAATCTGTGGGGGGATGCAGACACGGACAGAATAGATGGGGGTTTTTTTGTTTGTTTTAGGTATTTTGTTTTTATTTATAGGTAGACACAATATCTTTATTTTATTTTTGTGTGGTGCTGAGGATTGAACCCAGTACCTCATGCATGATAGGCAAGTGCTCTACCTCTGCGCCACATCCCCAGCCCAGAAGAGATGGATTTTAAGGAATCGGCTGATGCTGTCATGGGGCTGGCAGGTCTGCAATCCACAGGGCAGTCTGATAGGTATAGCAGTCTGGAAGCTCCGGCAGTGGTTCTGTGCTGTTTTGGGATTTTCTACTTTTTTGGAAAAATTTGTCTCTTAAAGCCTTTAACAGTTTAGGCCCTCCTGTGTTGTGGAGAGTGACCTACTTGACTCAGAATCTGTCAATTTAAATGTTAGTCACATCTGAAAATTCTTCCAACAACATTTGTGTTGGTGTTTGACCAAACAGATGCTCACCGTAGCCTGGCCAGGTTGACACGTGGAACTGACATCATGCTGTCCTCTGAAGATGCAGGTCCTTGTCTTAGTGCAAGTGTGGTCTGATTGCTATCTGCTTCTCAGGGTGGACCCTTGCTCCCACTGGACCGGCAGTTCCAGCTGTTTACATATTTGACCACGAGGCACCTGCAGCTTTGGAGTGCCCTGCGTCCAAACCTCCCCTCTTCCTCCAGGGCTCAGTCACAGGCCTGTGTGCCAGCAAGCATGTGAACACTAGCTCTCCTTAAGGGGTTGTGTCCTGTCAAGCCCTCAGGCTCTGCCTGCAGTTCCTCAGCCTGCACAGCCTTTTCAGTTGGCCTATGTGCCCTTTTCCTATTGCTGCCTTATCCCTCTGCATTTCTTTGAGTGCTGATCACATTTTATTGTCACTGTTTGCGTATCTGTTTGAAGACTTTGTCTTCTGAGAGCAAAGCTCCTATACTGCCCTCCTTCTGGTTTGCATTGCCTGAATGAACACTGAATCTCTGCTGAGGATTTGGAAGCTACATTCATACTTCTTTTGTAGTAGTTTCTCATCATACTGGAATGTGGAGATGGTGATTATTTGGGGATGAAGCAAACCTGAGTGCAGGTGGTCAGCCTTGGGTCAGATGCCAGGCATGCTTGGGTGTCTTCAATACTTGCTTGACTCTTTGGTGCAGACGCTTTTATTTTTCTCCCATCCGATGCCTGCTATGTAGGCGTTCTGAAGCAGAATTTACTGCTGGCATGTCAGACCTGTTCCATTAAGAAAAGCTGTTTCTGATAATTTATTTATTCACACATGTTGTTTTGAGAATCAAAAAAGGGCCTCATGCATGCTGGGCAAGTGCTGGACCACTGAGTGAAGCCCAGTGAGGAGTTCCTGCTCACTTTTGTGTTTACTGTATTCTGAGAATGCCAGGGCTGCTTCGGCTTCTTCACACCTAGAACTCAGTGGTTGGTAGCTGGAGACTGTTTGTAAACAATCAAATAATGTGATGACAAATAAACTTTTTCCTTGTCTTACCAGATATTAATCATCTTTCTGAAGTACAATCTCCATGGCCTGAACTTTTTTTGAAAATCATTTTGAGCAAAGTATTTGTTTAATAACAAGATAACCACATCAAGATGGTTGGAAAACTGAAGCAGAATTTACTATTGGCGTGCCTGGTGATCAGTTCTGTGACAGTATTTTACTTGGGCCAGCATGCCATGGAATGCCACCACCGAATAGAGGAACGTAGCCAGCCAGCCAAATTGGAGAGCACAAAAGCCACCATGCGAACCAGCCTGGACCCTAAAGCCAATAAAACCTTTGCCTATCACAAAGATATGCCTTTGATATTCATTGGTGGTGTGCCTCGGAGTGGGACCACACTCATGAGGGCCATGCTGGACGCACACCCTGACATTCGCTGTGGAGAGGAGACCAGGGTCATTCCTCGGATCCTGGCCCTGAAGCAGATGTGGTCACGTTCCAGTAAAGAGAAGATCCGCTTGGACGAGGCTGGTGTCACTGATGAAGTGCTGGACTCTGCCATGCAAGCCTTCTTACTAGAAATCATCGTGAAGCATGGGGAGCCAGCCCCGTACTTATGTAACAAAGATCCCTTTGCCCTGAAATCCTTAACTTACCTTGCCAGGTTGTTCCCCAATGCCAAATTTCTCCTGATGGTTCGAGATGGCCGGGCATCAGTGCATTCAATGATTTCTCGGAAAGTTACTATAGCTGGGTTTGACCTGAACAGCTACAGGGACTGTTTGGCCAAATGGAATCGTGCCATAGAGACGATGTACAACCAGTGCATGGAGGTCGGTTACAAAAAGTGCATGTTGGTCCACTACGAGCAGCTCGTCCTCCATCCTGAGCGGTGGATGAGGACCCTGTTGAAGTTTCTCCATGTCCCATGGAACTACTCAGTGCTACACCATGAGGAGATGATCGGGAAGGCCGGGGGAGTGTCGCTGTCAAAGTGAGTCCAGGGAACACACTTCCTTCTCACCCCGTGTCCCCCTGATGAGTTTGTGTGTGCGCGTGCGCGTGAGTGTTTGTGTACGGATGTGGGAGTGCGCATGTGTGCGTGTTTGTGGGTGTGTGTGCGCGTGTGTGTGCATATGTGCGTGTGTGCATATGTGCGTGTGTTTTTAGGAGGGTTGCGTACAGATGTGTGTGCATGTTTGTGGGTGTGTGTGGGTGTGGGTGTGAGCATGTGGGGTGTGTGTGTGCATGTGAGTGTGTGCACATATGGGTGTGAGTGTGCGTAGGTGTGTGTGCGTGTGTGAGTGTGTGCACATGTGGGTATGGGTTGCGCATATGTGTGTGGGTGTGGGGTTACGTGTGGGTGCATGTGTGGGCGTGGATGTAGTTTTTTTATACATAAAGTTTAGACCTTTCTGGAACAGGGGTAGCTTGGATGCGGAGTTTTCTTTTCATTAGTTCTCTGTCAGCTTATTAGATACCCTTCTGTCCATGTTATCTCTGTGCGTTTATAGTATCATGGTCCTTTGTATCTGTGTGCTGGATGCCAACCAGCTAACAGGCAATGAAGGGCCTTTCCTCTGACCTCAGCCTCAGAGTCCGGGTTCAGTGTTACTGGCTTGTGACTTCTGACTTCTAGGTGTGCTTGTAAGTGTCAGTTTGGCTTCTGGGTAGAGTTAGGGTAATACAGGGAATGCACCTACCGTGTCAGCGAGCACTTAGGGAATGTCAAGCATTTTAAAATTTTAGTTATAGCAATAATGAAGGTACTACGACCTTTTACAGATAAGAAAAGGTCATGGAAAGGTTAAGGGGACGTGCTCATATTGAGATGCAAAGCTGTCATTCAGAATGTGCCAGATCCACTGAGTTCTGCTGTTTTCTAGCACCTTGCCACAGGCAGCGCCCTATCATCAGGCGATCGATTCCCTTCTGCCTATTTCCAGGAGGCAAGAGCCGCCATGGTTGGAAAGCTTCATCCACACAGAGGTCCTTAGGGGCGAGCGCTTAGAACAGCGACTAAGCCTCTTGCTCAGTCTTGCACTCTGCCTCCTTTCCATGAAGGGGTGGCTGCAGTGGACCAGTTGGTGTGTGGCCTGAGCAGTGACTGTGTGTGGAGAATGAGGAGATGACAGTGGAAAGCACTGTTAAATCAGGTGGTGCCTCCTTATTGAAGAGAATTTGAGTAAAAATTTATTTATTTATTTATTTTTGGTTTTTCATTTATCAAAGTAATGTATATCCCTGTTAAAAAAGAGAAAGCAGTGTGCAGTGTGAGCCACTCCTTCCACTGAGCGCATCTCCTCACTTTCCCACGACTGTGACTTGTCTAGTAAGCACTGCCTTTCCATGCAGACTGACTCTGAGGAATGCCTGCCTGCCAGCGCCTCACTCTCAGTTACTGGTGGTTTACACATTATCAGCCATTACCATCACAGCATCTCTAGATCATTTGTATTGATTGAAAGAAAATTACAGTCCTAGTCACTGTCACTGCACTTTATTGTTCTTTCCAGATAATAATCTGTAGTTGATTTTTAATGACCTGTATTCCTAGGTAAGTACAGCTGGGGTTCTGCCTCTGGATTCAGCCAATCATGCATCAAAAGTATTTGCAAGAAATTGCACTAAAGATGTACATACTCCCCTCGTCATCATTCCTACACATGCAGCATGACAGCTGTCTATACAGCATTGGCCCTGTTGTAGGTCTCAAAAGTGATCTAGAGGTGATGTTAGCTATAAGGGAGGGTGTGAGCAGGTTGTGTGCGGATGCTGCACCATTTGTGTGAGGCTCTTGAGCATCTACACAGTTTGCATCTGCAGGGTTCTGGAGTCCGTCCCCTGCTGATACCAAGGGCTGTGGTGTGCCCTGGCCGGGAGACTCTGGTGCTAGTTCTGCTTGTCAGTGCAAAGAAGCTGACAACACCTCCAGACTCTCCTAGTGGGGACTGAAGAGATATGTGAAGTTAAATCCTGGGGATAGGAAGGGAGAGACCGTTCTGCACGTGTACCTGCTGTGCTTAAGGGACACAGATGGAGGCCATCCATAGAACCTTTAAGTCAATGAATTTCATCAGGGAACAAGCCTTGGCATCTAGTCTGTTGGTTGGAGACCCAGCCAGGCTCTGGGCTTTGTCACAGAACCTTGGCCACGTTGCAGGTGTCTGTGTGAGATGCTCAGTGTTCGGCTGGGTGAGCGCTTAGTTCATGGGGACACCTATACTGACCACCCACACCAAGGAATAGGGAACCCCAGCAGCATCCAGGAGGCTGTGCCTACTCCTTCCTGTCAGTGCTCCTCCACCCAGAGCTGCCCCTGTGCCACCCCAGTCTCCACAGGTTGTCTTGCTTGTTTTTAAACTTTATTTACATGCAGTTGTGCATATTTTTTGTGGTTGGCTTCTCTTATTCAGTGTTGTGTTTGAAATTCATTCATGCAGTTGTAAATAGCAGTGGTTGCTCCATTGTTATTCCTGTAAAGTGTGCCATAGTTGATCCGTTCTTCCATGGACAGACACTTTGAGTTGTTTCTGGTTTGGGGCCATTGTGGATAAAGTTGCCAAGAACGTACTTGTACGTTAGTTTTGTGGAACATGAGCATTCTTTTTGAGTGTATTTCTTTCTTTTTGAGTATATACCAATGAGAATTATTGGATCATACTTATGTGCTTTTAGACACATACGCATGCTTGCATGCGCGCATGCACATGCACACACACACACATACTATAAAATATATACTTCCTTAAGATTTTCTAAACTGTATTATTTGTGGGTGTTTATACTGTAATTGTCTCTCATCTTTGCCAGCACTTGAACCTTTTAATTTTAAACTTTCTGATAGGGTACATGTGTTTTTTGTAAATTTAAAAACAAAATTAAAAAATGGCATATGAACCTCTTTTTGAAATAATCTTACCCAGAATTCCAATGTAAAGCACAAGAGCAAACCTTTAGTTGAATCTAAATTATCACATACTTCCTCTTTTAAGACTGAGTCCCTACTCTCGAAAAACCACGAATTCAGGGATAGGGCAGAAGCAGTTATTTCTTTAGGACCAAGTTGTAAATATTTGGTGTTCATTGTTATGTCGATTTATACCTCAGAGTCAGTCATCTTGTGTGCCTATTCCTGTGTACAAACATTGCTTTCTTTTGGAAAAATTGTTTAAAATCAGTTTCTTTTTTTTAAATTTATTTTTTAGCTTTAGGTGGGCACAATATCTTTATTTTATTTTTATGTGGTGCTGAGGATTGAACCCAGTGCCTCACGCATGCCAGATGAGCACGCTACCCCCTGAGCCACATCCCCAGTCCCTAAAATCAGTTTCTTAATACTTGTTTTAATGTTATGTAGTATGACAGTACTTAAAAATATTTGGGAAGCCTGAAGGTTTGCAGATGTCACCAGGTAGCCCAGGAACCTAGGTCCTGGCTGTTGAAGACATTGATGTGGGACAGGCTCACAGCTCTGCCTGCCTTCACTTATCAACTGTGAAGGTTAGCCTTGCCTCCGCTGGGGCTGGCATGGAGATGCCCCACTGTTTCCAGTCAGGGTGGTGCCTTTTCCTTCTCTGGTCAATTCCAGTCTCAGAGACAGAGCAGGTGGGGGTGAAGCCCAGTGGTGAAGCACTTGCCTGTCACGTGAAGCCTGGCTTGGGTCCCAGCACTTGGGGGCCACTTGACCACTGAGCCTCATCCATCCCCAGCCCTATTTTGTATTTTATTTAGAGACGGGGGTCTCACTGAGTTGCTTAGCACCTTGATTTTACTGAGGCTGGCTCCTGCCTCAGCCTCCCGAGCCGCTGAGATTATAGGCATGTGCCACTGTGCCCAACTTACAGGTCTATCTTTTTTTTTTT